CAAGCCACCCCGCACTGGTACACCACTAGCATCTCCACCCTCAACCCCCCCCCCCGCCAAGCCCCCCCCCCCTCTGCCCCCGTCCTGTTGCTGTGCCGCCTGCTTCAGCCGCTTACTGTACTCAGCAAAGCGAGCCCGTACAAGGGTCAGCACCTCTGACGGCTTGAAGCTCGCCACAGGCCTGCCCTGCTGCTCCTCCTCCCCCTCCTCCCCCTCTCCCCCCTCCTCATCCTCCTCCTCCTCCTCGTCCTCCTCGTCCTCCTCGTCCTCCCCCTCTGCGCCCTTCTCTGAACCCATCTCCTCCTCCCCCCTCCCCGCACCAGCGGCACGCACAACTAGCGCGCGTGAAGACCTGGCTAGTCCGCTTTCCACGCCCACCCCGTTTGCCCCCTCTCCCTCTCCCCCAGAGCGGGTGTCCGTCCCTCCATCCACCTCGAAGAACACCAGCCTCATGCCGGGGTTCAGAAACGTCGCCACCACGAGCTCATCGCTGCTGCTGCAATAGTACCGCTCCAGCACGGGGAAGGCGACGCCAACGAGCTGACGGCCGATGAGGCGGGGCGATGGCCATGCCTGCAAGGTGTCCATCAGTTCGTTGAACTGTGGCACAACAGCAGATGATGTGGGGTAGGAAGAGCCCTCGGCCGCCACCGTGATGGAACTGAACGGTGCCAGGAACTCCGCCAGGACATCCAGCGTGTCCCAGTGCGCGTCGGTCAGGCGCAACGTGACGTACTTCGCGCGCTCTTCAGCCGTCTCTCCCTGGGAAGTGAGCAGGGGTGCATGGGGGGGGGGGGTTGTGGGGATACCATGGGTTTGGCGGCATGGAAGGAAGTGTCACACAAGGGGTGCGTAGGAGCATCCGTGCACGCAATGGAAGCAGTGGAGTGGGCTTTTGTAAGGAGGGTACCTGCTCCACTGCGAAGTGCGCAGTGAGGGATCGGCGGAGCCTTAATGCACGCGCGACCATCTCGTGCGTGCTGCCCCAGCGAACCTCGCTGTCCTGCACCAGGCGGAGGACCGTCCCTTTGAGGACGGGGTCGGACCGCTGCTGCGCTTCAAATTCGCGCGTGCGCCTCTCACTCCATCCCACAAAGGTGGCGATGTCGCGTAGGAGCTTCAGCGGCACCCTCACCGCTGGCAGCTTCAGCGCACGCTGGACTGCAAGGTTCAGGATGTGCGCCAGGCAGCTGCATGTTCCAAGGCGCACAGAGGGGGGGGGAGAGAGGGGAGGGAAATCCTTAAGGACCCTCCATGCCATTGAGAGGGGAGGTGTGGATCGTCTGAACAGCAGCACACTATGTGGACAAGACAAGGGCTGCAAGCTCGCCACGCACTCACCGGAAGTGCATGCCATCTGCGAGGAGAGGCGTGGCCAACGCATGACAACCAAGACCGGCGAGGCGACGCATGGCGGCTGTGTTGCTGCTGGCGTTATCCGTCGTCACCCCCATGCAAAACCCCACGAGCTCCCACTCCCTGATGACTCGCGCGAAGACGTCTGCAATCAGCCGCCCTGTGTGCCGCGCTCCCAGCTCCATAAACTCCAGTGTACACTGGCGCAGCTGAAAATCCCTGCTAATGAAGTGCGCCGTCACTGTCATGTACCCCCGCCTGTTACCCCCGGTCCATATGTCCGTTGTGAAAGAGACACGCCCGCTCCCGGAACCCGCCCCAAACTCCGACTTAACCACTGCCCGTGCCGCCTCAGAGTAGAAGCGGAGGTCCCTGGAAACGGTGGTCCGGTCGGGTATGGGGATTGCGTCACCGCATTGGGGGTTGCATACAGCCAAGAGGCGGCGGAACTGCCAAAAGTAAACGAGAGGGGGGGTGTGGGGTTTGGGGGTGTTTAGTGCCATGCGGGGGGGGGGGGGAGGAGGTGGTGGTGGGGCGGGTGGTTCTTTTGGTGGGGCAGATCCAGTAGGTTATAAGGGGGGGGGAGTTGGGTTACACAATGACCACAGGCTAAGGGAAGGGTGGGGGGGGGGGCTGGTGGGGTGGCTCGCTTACCGCGGGGTCCTCTACGATGCGAAAGGAGCTGTCGGTGCTGGCGATGAACTCGACGATCGCCTGACGCAAACGCGGCTCCGACACACGTGGGCCAAGGAACCGGTCCATCGTGGGCTGCCTCGCGTCCGCTGCTGCCGGGGACAGGGACGGGATGGTGGCGCCGGGGGGGGGGTGCGGCCAGGTCTTGGACCACTCGTTGGGCGCCTTCCCATCAGGGACATGTGGGTATCCCCCCATCGGAAATGACTCTCCTGGCTCAAGACCCTCGACCACGCGCCGCTGCCATATGTCCCAGTGTGGGCGATGGTGTCTCGCCATATGTTTGGCACCCGTGCTGGTCTGGCTGTCGCCCATCGGCTTCTCGCACATCTTGCACACTCGCTTTCTCTCGCTCCCCAAGAAACACTCTGCCACACGCTTGTTGCTCCTCTTTGCTCCAACTTTACGGTTCTTTTTCTGTCTTTTCCTTCCCCCCTCCTGCTCAACGCCTGGGTCCACATCCTCAGCCCCATCCGCACGCCCTCCCCTGCCTTGACACCCGACGGACGGAGCAGCGCGCTCCCCCCCCTCCTCCCCGCCCCTCCTCCCCCCCTTTGTGCCTGTCCCTGGCCGTGGCCCAACCCCACTCCCTTCCTGACGCTGCCTCTTCCCCCTGGCGCTCTCCCCCCCCCTACTCCCACCCGTTCCCTTCTTGGACCGACAATCCCCCTCCCCCTCCTCCTCCTCCTCGTCCTCCAATACCCATCCCTCCATCTCGTGCTCATCCTCCTCCTCCTCCTCCTCTTCCTCCTCCTCATACTCGCTGCCGCTAGATTTTCCGCTCTCCCGCTCCTCCGACTCGCTCCAATCCCTCTCATCGCCACCGCTCTCCCGGCTGCGGCCCCGTTGTGCGCGCTTGAACCTCCTCCCCTCCCCCTGGGCTCTCCCCCACCCTCCCCCTCGTCCCATCCCCTGCCGAGAGAGGAGGAAATCTGTCCACTCCTCAGGCATGTGGGGCATGGCTCCACCTCCATCGGTCTCATTCGCTCTCGAACTCACACCCCCCTGGTCCCCCAACGCCTCATCTGTGCCCGCTACACGATCCCTCCCCGGCCCCCCTTGCCTAGCTGCCGTTGCCTTGGTCTTTGCCATGTGCAATGCAAGTTCGCGCACCCCCAAATGCGTGCGCTTAACCTAATCAAGCGTTACCAAGCGTGCGCATACCACGAGCCAAGGCCTTGGTGGCGCGCCTAGGGCTGTCGCGCATACCACGAGCCAAGGCCTTGGTGGCGCGCCTAGGGCTGTCGCGCATACCACCAGCCAAGGCCTTGGTGGCGCGCCTAGGGCTGTCGCGCATACCACCAGCCAAGGCCTCGGTGGCGCGCCTAGGGCTGTCGCGCATACCACCAGCCAAGGCCTCGGTGGCGCGCCTAGGGCTGTCGCGCCAAGGCCTCGGTGGCTCTCATTATAAATAGTAGTTCTTACGTCTTTAAAAAATAAAACAACGTGCTGCAAGTTTGGTTCTGGCTGAGGGCGAAAGACTAGGGCGATAGGCTAGGGCGTTATGGTGAGTGAGATTAGGGTTGGTTGACGAAATGAGTTTGGGGGGGGGAGTTCATCGATTTGAATTTTGACTGTCGCGAAACCCCCCCTTACCCGAATCGCGAGCCAGCTGGCTCGAATTCGAGCCATTTCGAGCCGGCTCGACTCCGGCTCGCCTGGTGTCACCTGCGCGAGCCGAGCCGAGCCGCCGGCTCGAGTCGAGCCGAGCCGGCTCGGCTCGCCTCGAGCCGGGCACCAAAAAAAAAGGCTCGGCTTGTGCCCATGTCTACTCGGATGGGTGCACATATGGAAGGCGAATGGGAGGTGGGAGATGAAACAGGACTCGCCTGGCTCTGCTCAGCAATGCCAAGAATATGGACAACACCCCTCAAACAAAAGCATTCCCTCCCGTTTCTACAACAGGGCACCATTCAAACGAAAGGCGGATCCTCGACTGCTGCCAACTTCACACGACCTCAAGTCCACGCTACTAAGCTTTCTACTGCCAGCTGGAATGGGCCTGGTAAGCTAAGTTCCTTGCCAAGCTTCTGCTATGTGGGAGAGGGTGAAATGCGGGCACGAATACTGCTTTGTTGATCTCCAAACACGGAGTGTGTGTAACAATCAATGTAGTGAGATTGATGAAGTATAATGGCATGTTTTAGTTAAAATCCGCTGTGCACACTTAGCACGACTCTGCATGGCCCGCTGCAGCACGGCCTGGTGCCCGAGGTCGGAGGACAGGGTTACGCCGAGCTGGTGGCCGCCTCGCTCGCACGTGATGGACCGGAACCCACTCAACCACCTCACTCAGCAGTTGCCATCCCATTTCGGCTGAGCGGGCGACTGGCTACTGGTCGTCCCCTTTCCACCACTCGCTTCGCGACCGCGCTTACCTTAAACCTAGGCCGCCCCTTCCCCGGGGTGGATGCTGCCGCCTCAGCAAGAGTCGGCTCAGCCCGGGCTCGCCGTCCGCGGCCAAGCCTGAACTAAGTGCATGCCTATCAAATCCACCCAAACGGGGACTGCTGCAACAGTTCCGCCAGTACTGGTCGGTGATGCTGCATTGAGGTCAAGCCGTGGCCTTCCTTGATAACGCCAATGAGGCGGCTCAGGCTCACCAGACGAGCCCCTCTACCTTGGGTACCCCAACACTATAGAGGTATTCCCGGAGCCACCTAAGACTGCGCCGGCGGCCTTCCTCTTGCAGCTCGCGTTTTGGTTTCCAACCGCAGGTTTGAACAAAGCCAATCTCTAGATTCAGCGGAACACCACACAAGATCTACAAAGTCAATAGTGCAACGCCCATACACCGGCGCCGCCACTCGACCGTCTACAGGGATTGCGAACCTCCATGAAATCTCAAGCCGGACAACCAATGCACCAGACGCGAAGGCGGGTTGAGAGGTAGGAGTTAGCCAGGAGTGCAGGAGAAGAGGTACGAGGGCGAAGCAAAGCATAGAACTTACAGGTATACCAGGTGGGCAAGCGAGCCGATACTGGCAGGAATTGAGCCACTGAGGTTGTTATGAGAACAATCACTGAGATGGCAGGAGGGAAAAACGAGGGAACGAGCGGAAGGTGTGCAAAACAGGAGAGAAGTTGAAAGGGGGCGGACAGGCAAAGGAAAAGATGAGCAGCGTGGAGAAAGGTGGTACGAAAAAGGATGTATAGCAATGGGTGGACGCATGGGATGCAGAAACACGCGGTGGATAATAACAGGAGGCGGGGCATGACGGAGGGGAAGATGGGGGAAAGGCGGTTGTGAGGGGAGGGGGGAAGGAGAGAGGGGGGGGAAGGAGAGGGAGGGGAGGGAGGGATGGGGGGGTCGGGGGGGGAAGAGAGTGGGGGGGGGCTGAATGGGAGGCACACGTAGGAAGGAATTTAGGTGTAAGAAAGTAGCACACAAAGAAAGCACAGCAAGGAAGAATGGGGCTTCGTTAAGGAACCATTGATCTAGAGAAAGGAGAGACAGCCATCTCCTTTCTAAGGAAAAGATGGGCTAAGTGGGGCACACGGGGGGAAGGAGGGAGCAAAGGGAGGGGGGAGGAGGGAGCAAAGGGAGGGGGATGGTTGCTGGGAGAATGCTGGGGTGGGCGAGGGAAAGGCGGGGGAGAGGCACGCAGATGGGTGCACATATGGATGGCGAATGGGAGGTGGGAGATGAAACAAGAGTCGTTTGGCTCTGCACACAGCAATGCCAATAATATGGCCAACACCCCTTACACAAAAGGAGCTCCCTCCCATTGGCCCCCTCCCGTTTCTACAACAGTGCATCATTTCAAGGAAACGTGGGTCCTTAGCTGATGCTTTATACAAACGACTTAAAGGGTATCCAAGTTACTAAGGCTTCCAATTCCAACTGGGATGGGCCCGGTAAGCTCATTGACTGCCTAAGTTCTATTCAAAAGAGGGCGAAACGTGGGCATGAATTTGATCTGTTGATCCCCAAATTAGAGAGTGGATGTAACAATCAATGCAGTGAGATCTATGACATACAACGGCCTGGTTCAGGTTAAATCCCCCATGCGCACTTAGCACGGCTCAGCACGGCCCGCTACAGTGCGACCTTGTGCTTGAGGTCCGAGGACATGGCTACGCCGAGCTGGTGGCCGCCTCGCGCATGGTGGACTGAACCCACAGGACCACCTCACTCCGCAGTTGCCCTCCCATTTCGGCTGAGGCGGGCGACTGGCTACTGGTCGTCCCCTTCCCTCTTTGTGACCGCGCTTACCTTAAACCTAGGCCTCCCCTTCCCCGGTGTGGATGCCGCCGCCTCAGCAAGAGTCGGCTCAGCCCGGGCTCGCCGTCAGCGGCCAAGCCTGAACTAAGTGCATGCCTATCAAATCCGCTCAAACGGCGAACTGCTGCAGCAGTTCCGCCAGTACTGGTCGGTGATGCTGCAGCGAGGTCAAGCCGTGGCCTTCCTCGATAACGCCAATGAGGCGGCTCAGGCTCACCAGACGAGCCCCTCTAACACTATAGAGGTATTCCCCGAGCCACCTAAGACCGCAGCGGCGAGGTCAAGCAGTGGCCTGGGAGAGCGAAGGAAACATGAGCGGTGGTACGAAAAAGGATGTATAGCAATTGGGTGGACGAATGGGATGCAGAAGCACTTGGTGGATGAGAACAGGAGGCGGGGCATGACGGAGGGGAAGAAGGGGGAAAGGCGGTTGGGATGAGAGGGGGGCGTCCATCCACCCACCACACGTGCTCTTTTGAGGCAAGGAAGCGGAGAGGAGGGAGGTGAGATGGCGGTGGCGAGCCGTGCCAACAATCCCTTCGGGAGGATGTGCGAGATGGAGGTGAACTCATGGTCTCGTGTGAGCTCCTTACAGCGATGTTAGTCTAGTGAGAGAGGAGATGCTGTCGGGAATAGAGCCTGAAATATGCCAGCTCGTCAGAGTACTGTGTGGGGTTGGGGCGGAAGAAGAGCGAAGGTTGAAATGGTGGCCAGATTTGTGTGTGACGCGAGCTTTCAGTTTGTGGCATTTACGAAGCAAGGCAGTGAAGTAAGGGTCCTTCTTGGCGCCAGCATTTGCAATGTTCATTCCGTACAAGATTGAAAAGCATGCACTCACATTTCGGTAATCATGCCCGACGGGTCACACGTGAGACCGTCAAAAGTGCTACAGTCGGGTCCCTGGGACCACGTCGACCCCCATGCCTTCTGGCAGTCGCTGAGAAACACGGCTGACAGCCGGTACGCATTGGGGACACGAGAGGGGAGGGACGAACCAGTACGCATTGAGTCAGTAGAGGCCCACGTGGGCTGTAGTAGAACTTGCACCTACCTACCATGGATAGCCAAGGCATGTTAATGATGATGTGTCCGACCGGAGGCCCAGCTATTGCGCAAATCAAGCAGCGTCCTGATTCGCAGCGATTAAAGTCAATCATGAGCGGCAAGCAATAGACCGTGGATAACCAGGGCACTTCGCCCCATCACAGCAAAGCCTTGTTCTCGTTTTGGGAGTTGAGTGCCGAGGATGGGTGTCGACTTAGGGTTTTGCCCTAGCACCAGTAGTATCGCTAGCATAGCAGGTCAGTGCTTCATGGGAGCTGAAGGGGGAGGGAGGTACCTTGAGATTTGTGGATGCCTGCTGCGTGGCACGAGGAGACGAAGGCGGCAAGCCAAAGCACCGCGGAGAGGGCGAGCCATGCTCGCTGCATCGCGGCCAGCATTTGTACTACCCTTAGTATCGCGTTGTGCAACAACGGCCGGAAGTTCTGGGGGCAGTCTGGACTGCTCGGCTACGGTACGAGTACAGCTCCTATTAGGAACGCGAGTTGCGCCACCACGGGAGTGGTGGACCCGCGAGATGAGATGAGTGGGAGAGTTCTAGTAGTAGCTGAGTTGGGAGCTCAAGCAGCGTAGATGGTAGCTAAGAACTGGCGAAGCGATGCCTGGAAAAGCGGCCTCAAGGTCTGAAGATTGAGTGGACGTGAGGGAGACCCTCCCACTCGTCAGATGAAGAAGGGAAGGGAGAGGCCTGAGGGAAACGGGCTCGTCTCATGGTTGGTATGAAATCACTTCGTCTGGTTCAGAGTGGTGCGCGGTCATTCATAACGGTGAACAAGGAGGTCCGCTCCCTACCATGCTGGACCGCTCTCCGATTCTCCGACTCTCGTCATGGGAGGAGGCACGTTCGAATTTCGAAGTGGACTTGCCGTGGACGCAGCCTTCTGACAACGAGGCTTCAGTCACGTGCGAGCAATGATGCTGCGAGCCCTCATGAACCGTGGTCCGAAAGTTCGTTGCTTCCTGCGTGTCAGCCATTGCGAGACACCTCTGCGGCAGAGTGGAGACACCCGCACTTGGTTCTGCGAATCCTCCAAACCACTGGTCGATGCGGAAGTCGCATTTGCTGATGGAGCCAGGCCTCTCGATGTCCCCGAAGGGCCCCCTGCAGAATCCGAGTTAGTCGCGCAACCAACTCGTCCAAGCTGGGTAACCCAAAAAATGTTGACTGTTTTTGCAAGGCAGTCTCGGCAGTTTTCCCGCATGTGCAGGGTTTCAGTGTCGCGTTCACTTCTTTGAAGTGCACTGAACTTTTCCTTTCACCGATTTCATCTACAAGTTCTCGGATGTTATTATCAGCCAAATTGTGCTAAAAAAAACCCAAACGATTGACTACCAGTGCAACCGCCACTTCACCAATTTAGTTCCTACTACAAAAAAAAAAACGCCCTACCCACAGGTACAATGCCCCACTTATATGAAGCACCGAGGCGTGGTCCAGGAAAACATGTTTTCCCCCAACCAAACCTCTTTGGGGAAACGAGTTTGGCTGAGGGGGGTCCAAATAGTTCAATCGGGGGTTTTGTAACTGGAAACTCGGGTACGACAACTGAAAACGATCCCAAAATCGTTTCCTCCCGAAATCGCGCCTCATATTACGAATGACTGTGTGCGTCCCAAAAAACGGTTTGCGTCAGACGCCCCAAATCTGAGTTACCAAATGTCGCAACTCGCGAAACAGATGTTTCGTGCTGGGTTAAAGCCAGGGTCTCAAGTAAGAGAAATTGGAGCAACTGCAAAACACTTGCTCGCAGGGTAACCATGTCAACCTTCGCAAAGTGTGGAAAAGTGGTTGGGACCCAAAAACAAGGCTCGGAGAAGCTCCAAGCCGGAACATTCAACTGAAAGGCAGAGGTACGGTTACCGAACCCAAGTACGTTCGGCAGCCCGGAACCCAACTGCAAAACAAACGATGCACCCAACGGTACATGAGACTTTGGACTTACACAGAACGCCCACACCCCAGGCACTGCTAGACCTCGTGAAGCTCGCCCACACCCCAGGCACTGCTAGACCTCGTAAAGCTCGCCCACACCCCAGGCACTGCTAGACCTCGTAAAGCTCAAGAAAGGGGTAGCCCACATAACTAGGACACGCGGCCAGCACACGCCGCACGTGGCGAAAGGCACGGCATTAGGAGGAAACGACACGGGGCGGAACGCACGTGTGGAGAGCCCAGGGGAATCACCGCGGGTCGAGAAGAAGAGGCGCGACATGAGCGCGAATGCCGAGCCCAGCGAGAGGAATGAGGAGGTGAGGGCCGTGCGGGAGAGGGTGAAGAGGTGACGGTTGAGTAGGATAAGACCCCTTGGAATTACAGCTTTGGACGCAGGTCCCGTGCCGCTCGATAAAATAACCAGTGGCTCGAACCCGCCACGCCGCGCACCCCAGTCAGATCTTACCGTCAAAACGACGCCCACCATCCAGCGCAGTGTGTAGCCGCGCCTCTCACCCCTCCCACACATCCCGCGTCGTCCCGCGTTCCGAGCCTCGCAACACTTTGAAGCATTCCGTGTCGCCTCTCTCCCCTCCCACGCATTCCGTATCGTCTCTCTCCCCTCCCACGCATTCCGTGTCGTCTCTCTCCCTCCCACGCGTTCCGCGGGGTCTCTCTCCCCTCCCACGCATTCCGCATCGTCTCTCTCCCCTCCCACGCATTCCGCATCGTCTCTCTCCCCTCCCACGCACTTCGTGTTGTCTCTCTCCCCTCCCCCGCATTCCGCATCGTCTCTCTCCCCTCCCACGCATTCCGTGTCGTCTCTCTCCCTCCCACGCGTTCCGCGGGATCTCTCTCCCCTCCCACACATTCCGCATCGTCTCTCTCCCCACCCACGCATTCCGCATCGTCTCTCTCCCCTCCCACACACTCCGTGTGGTCTCTCTCCCCTCCCCCGCATTCCGCATCGTCTCTCTCCCCTCCCACGCATTCCGTGTCGTCTCTCTCCCTCCCACGCATTCCGCGGGATCTCTCTCCCCTCCCACGCGTTCCGCATTGTCTCTCTCCCCTCCCACGCATTCCGCATCGTCTCTCTCCCTCCCACGCACTCCGTGTGGTCTCTCTCCCCTCCCCCGCATTCCGCATCGTCTCTCTCCCCTCCCACGCATTCCCTGTCGTCTCTCTCCCCTCCCACGCATTCCGTGTCGTCTCTCTCCCCTCCCACGCACTCCGTATCGTCTCTCTCCCCTCCCACGCACTCCGCATCGTCTCTCTCCCCTCCCACGCACTCCGCATCGTCTCTCTCCCTTCCCACGCATTCCGTGTCGTCTCTCTCCCCTCCCACGCATTCCGCATCGTCTCTCTCCCCTCCCACGCATTCCGCATCATCTCTCTCCCCTCCCACGCATTCCATGTCGTCTCTCTCCCCTCCCACGCACTCCGCGTCGTCTCTCACCCCTCCCACACGTTTTGCGTCGTCTCTCTCCCCTCCCACGCATTCCGCGTCGTCTCTCTCCCCTCCCACGCTTCCGCATCATCTCTCCCCCCTCCCACGCGTTCCGCATCGTCTCTCTCCCCTCCCACGCGTTTCGCGTCGCCTCGATCCTCTCCCTGCATCCCGCCTATACCGCGCGCCCCTACCCAGCATTCCGCGTGAGGCTGACTCCCCTCTTACGTGCCTCCGAGGGCGGTACAACTAGTCCAGCCTCTGGGACAAGGGCCACAAGACCAGTCAAGATAATATAAAAGTAGTACACAATGAAGAGCCTTTGTATAAATTTGATCTGTATTGGCACATACGGCCAAGTACGCGGGCCTGGCGGCGCTGCTGCAGCTCGTGCTAAAGGAAGTACTGCAGCTGGATGTGCTTTGCTTTGCCCTCCAGTCGAGGCTCCTGACATAGGAGGATCATGGCCCTGTTGTCAGTGGACAAGACCAGGGCAGAGCTAGGCCGCTCACCTAAGTCTACGAGCAAGAAAGTCAGCCAGCGGAGCTCTTGTGCAGCCATGGGACCGGCGTAGATCTTAGCCTCTCAGCTAGACTGGGCAATACACGACGAACGATAGGACCCCCACGAGACAACGCCTGCACCAAGGCTAAAGCAGTAGCCCTGGGAGGACCTGAGTGTCTCAGCGTCGTCTGCTCACGAAGCGTCTGTGTGCCCCGTAAGGACCACTGGCATGCGTACTCCTAGCACTAGCCCCATGCCCGATGTACTTGCTAGATAACGCAAAACCCTCTTAGCGCCCGACCTGTGTGAGAGTACGACCTCGTTACACCACTTGGCCTTTTCCATATTTCATCTTCATTTCATTCCTCTTTTTATCTCATCTCATTTGGTTTCATATTCCCCATTTTCCATTATCCTTTGGTTTCTTCCCTTATTATAATTATATCACCGACCAGGCATGGAATGTTCTAGACACGCTATCTAGCGTAATCCTGCCGTAATCCCTTAAAGCCAATAGCCTCGCGTGGCTATACGCAGGGTGATTCTATATTCTAGAAGGGTCTATTCCTTTAGATAGGATAAAACCTGGTTACCTGATGTACTCTGGAAGTATAAAAGCGCCTTGTACTGATCGATAGTGCAATCGATCCTCGAGTCATTCGATCCTGTGACACTTGGTAATCAGAGCTTTTCTCACTCGGCCGCGCTCAACAAAGCAGCAGCAGCGGGAAAACCTGCCTCGAAAAACCGCCGGGGGGCGACGAATTCGACGCCGATTCTGGTAAGCACCAGCTCCGCGATTTTCGAATTACCCCCTCCGTGCGTGTTTTGAACAGGATGGCAACCTTCGACAACGCCGAGGTTACCCAGCAGCTCTTCGCGCGCATCGCAGCCCTTCAGGAGGAAATGCGAGCGGATCGCGAAGCGTGGCGAAACGAATTCGAGCGAGTAACTCGACTCGCCGGAGCGCAGCACGAGACGACAACGGCGACGACGCAGCAGTCGCAGCAATTTCTCGAGGCTCCAAAACCGCGCCCACCTGAGCCATTCGATCCGAGCGATCGAAACTCCGACGCCCGCAGATGGATCGCCGGGATGGAGATCTACTTCGCAGCCGTCGGATGGAGCTCGCCAGTCTGGGACGGTCAACGTGTACGACTCGCGGCGACACTGATGCGAGGGCCGGCACTCGAGTGGATTGGCGGCAACAGTACTTTCATCCACGGTGAAGCCACGTGGCAGCAGTTCCGCGCCGACCTGCTGAAGCGATTCGAGCCGATAAATTCAGGTTTCCTTGCCCGCGAAAAAATTCATCGCCATCGACAGTTCGGGAGTGTAGCACAATACACGCAGCAGATGGAAGAATTTTATAATAGAATTCCCGACCTGACCGAAGGGGAAAAAGTGCAATCATACCTCGCAGGGCTGAAGACTGAAGTCAAACGACAGGTGGCAGCGTCAAACTACGCGAGCTACAGTGACATCGTTTCGGCTGCGGAGCGCTTCGACATGGTCAACGCCGGAACACGACGGACGCACGTCGGCAGTACGCGACAGGGCGACCGCTCGCCTCACACCACGTTCGCCGACCCGATGGAGATCGACAGATTCGACGGGCGGCCACGTCCGAAAAACACCAATTACACGTGTGATTTTTGCGGGGTGCCGGGCCACCGAATCTTCGACTGCAACAAAATGAAGGCTGCACGCGCAGAGTATCGGGCACGCAACAGTGGCGGAAATCTTCCGGCCAATGAGAAGCCAAAAAATGGGAGTCGCCAGTGATTGCGGATCTAGCTGGCGAAAATAAAAAGATCCGAAAGCGGCCGCGGGATTCCAGGAAAATCAACTTCGACGAAGCTGATTCGACGCGAGAAGGAGGAAATGATGGGGGAAAATCTCCACCCCACGACCAGTCTTCGCCAGAAGAAATCGCCGAGGAAAAATCAGACTCCGCGAAAAAAGACTCTGCCGGGACAGGGAAACTCCTTGAAGACCCAAGAAATTATAAG